ACTTAATTCTAATTAGTGACATTAATTATGAGGTTTTAATGCATTTGTGATACATAGTTTTTTTAATTGGGAGAACATGAATAAGATTGTTTTAGCATATGTTAAAATTTCTTATGTCCTAGCAACTCCTTCTAATTCCACTTATCTTGTATCTGCGTTGCACTGAAATGTGCCTTTTTAGAGCCTTTTTCTGCCTTTTTTCATTAATGGTGAAGTGTTTTCAGTGCCAGTATGTTGTAGGGCCAAATTCAGTAAAATTTAAGTGTCTTTTTCCTCTGGGTGCAAGTTTTTTATCTTCTTGTGCAAGTACTGAAAGGAGAAAATTGAAGGTTTGTGGTACACAGGGGTGCAAACAGAACAAGTCCTCTAGGCCCAAGTTAAATTAGCAGCTGCCATCTCCTCTTTCATAATCTGCTCAAGGGTTTTGTAAATGAGAATAGAGTTTCTCAATGGAAGACTGGGGCTCTTTATTTGTTTCTCTTTTTAATATACTTCAGTGCCATCATCTAAACTTTGTTGGGCGAATGGTTGAGCAAACAAGCTAGTGGCATTTGGTTACCTATTACCAAAGCATCACTAAGGAACCTTTTTTTCTGTTTTGTGACATAACTGTCCATTCATTAACTGGTATTTTTGTGGTGATGGCTTTTGACCAATGAAGGATGCAAGTAAGCAGTTCAGTTGTTGCAATGACAGGCAGTATCTCAGACCAGTGACAGAAAAGCTCAAACCAGAGCTCCACCAGCACCCCACATTTTCCCCTCCTGACTTTGGGACTTCCTCTTCCCTCTGAGAATATTTCTTTATATGTCTGTCAGGAACTGTTTTAAAAGTCCTGCTTCTGCTTTGGTCACAGGGAACTTCACAGTCCTTCCTTGGTTTCATCTGGGTCTTACTAAAGTTGTGTTCGGTGTCAGGGATTCTGGAACCTTTGCGACTTTTAAGGAACAATGTGTAGAAAAAGTGAATGTACAGAACGATTGCTCATTTGCAGCGGGGAAAGGAGAAGTCCAGAGTTCTCTGATGTCATTACAGTGACTTGTTATGCAGTTCCAGAAAGCAGAAACTCACAGAGGTCTTCTCTTTGCATTTCCCCTTTTATGTCTTTAATTTTTTTGGCTGTACTTCAAATGAAAATATTCTTTTCCATCCCATCTGCCATTACTTATTTTATATCTTAGCAGGTTTTTCTGTTGCTGTGCAGTTTTATTTATGTAGGCCTTTGCCTGGGTCAGTTGTCGGAGAATTTTCTTTACGAATCTGCATCTCATGTCTTGGGGATTTAGGGACATTACTGGAAACATGTAATTAGGTTTGAAGCTCCTTGTAGAGAGGAGGGGGACTTGGGATCCAAACTCCAGATGTTGTGGGCAGTTTCTAGTGGTAATATCTGCCGTAATCTTGAATGTGATGTGCCAGGTGCAGGAAATTCTACCAAGGCTAGGCCCCATCAGATGAGATATTTGTAATTACAGGTTGCTTCTGGAGTTTCCTGAGGGTAAGAGATTATTGTTGAAAATATTTTAAGTAATGTCTTAATTTTTCTTCTCTGTAGTTCAAAGGTCATCATGGAAGCTGGTGCTCTTGCTTCTGGTAGAAGTACAGGAAGGGGAATGAGCAGACAAAATGGGATGTGTAACATCCTTTTCAGAGTCTGGACTGCAGTCGCCTTTGGGAGCCATGTGACATTGTGATAAAAGCAGGTGGAAGGGGAATAAAATTAATAAGTGTTCGTGTGCTTTCACAAAGGCCATATGGGATCCCTGTGCAATCATCTGGACAGGGAATTGAAGCAGTGCTGGGTTTGGTTTTTTTTAAGATCTGTTCTAGTCCACATCCACCAGGGACTGGAGTTATCCCAATGCAGTTCCAGGTCAGACTGATGACAGCTTTGATCTGACACATTGGACCCATCTGATACACCTCACCTGACTTTATCTGTGTGGCATTTTGGGCAGGGCCCCTTGGTGGGTGCAGTGAGCTGGGGAAGAGATTTGGAGTGGTTGGTGGGACCTTGGTTGGAGGTCCTGGATCCTACACTCTTCCCATCACTCCCTGGTATCTCTTCACCTTGAGGAGGAGGGAAGGGACCATGAAATCCTCTGAAACCTGAGGTGACCTGTTTCTGGGAAGCTCTAACCAGAAGTATTTCTGTTTTAAATTGAATTTAAAAGCTAGATTTAGTTACTGTTCAGAACAGTGAATTGCTGATAGCACTGAGTTGCTGTTCTTTGAGAACTTGAGGAACGTTTTCCATGTGATGCCTACTGAGCTCTGTCACACAGAGTGCTGTATTCACTTGTACAATTCTGAGGTGTCTTGGAGTTCTTCTGCTGAGTGGTGAAGGAAAAATAGGGTCTGAAGCATGTCTTCTCTTTAGAAAATTTGCTTTATTGTTTTGAAGTTTGGTTTGACAAATCATTGGTCAGTCAGCCCTACTTCTGAGGGCTCTAAAGATAATGCTGGGAAATAACATTCTTGCTTGGAGTTGGCCATTGTTATCACAGAGCAAAATAAATGCATGTTCCATAGAATTACTTTTGTCTGGACAGTAACTAGTGAAAATATTTATTTTCCTTAATAAAGTCTTACTTTTTCTTTTCCTACAAAGTTCCTGATTTCCACACTCGCTCCCTTCATTCTTGTTGAACTTTTAAATTGGTACAGCATTGGCTTTTCACTATTGACTTGAGAAAACCAGGCAGTCAGAATTAATCAGAAGGTGTTTGGAAGGTGCAGAGGGTAATTTCCCCAGCCTACCTTACTATTTCCCTGAGTGCTTTGGGTAACAGGGCCAGCAGCCAACATGACTTTGTTATTTGACCTGGCATGGAGTATACGTTGGATGCAACATCCTGGATGATGAAAACCCAGCATCTCCTATGGTTGTCCTGTAATGCACAACTCCTTACCCTGGTTTCCTGCAGCTTATCTTAAAACCACATTTCTTCCTGTGACTTGTTTTTTTGATGTTTCCCATATAAAGGCCAGGGAAGTCCTTCTTACTGTTAAAAAGGATCTGTGATGCCTTTCACTCTTGCTGTTTTGAGGCTGTTTAAATGTATAGATGTATAAAATATTATTTTTAAATAACCCTACATGAAGAAAGGTGCTATTTTACAGCTATTTTTTTTCCGGTTAAGGAGCTCCAGGAGGACATACCCTTGGTTTGGGGAATACATGGAGGAATGACCCTGGTTTAACATTGTACTGATGGCATCACATCAGGGGTACAGGCAGAGTGAAGAGACATCTGTCACGCTCCAGTGTTAGAGAAAATCAGAGGGAGGAATAAAAACATCAGCCAAAAACTATGCATAGAGTTTTCTGACTTTATTATCTGTTATTTAGGTGGAAAAGACTAAATGTGATAATTCCCTACTTTGTGCTGAAACTGAAAGGCCTTGGGAATGGCAGTGATTAAATTATGCCCCTGTATAATAGTGGCCTTTTGGTTCTAAGCCCTCTGAAATGTGACTCCTGTCTGAAAACCTAGTGTATAAAATCTGTATGTGTTCTAATTCTTACCCAATTATAGTGTTAGAAAACTCAGTTACAAATAAAATCTGAACATGGTTTTTCCTGAAGTGTCAGGTTTTCAGGCTAAGTCTATGGTCTGAAATTCAAGCAGTGTCTTTTCTTATTAAATCATCAGTGAGTTAGTGGGAAAATCAGTAGGACAAATACATTCTTTGTTGCCTTATTATTTCTAAATTATGGACTGGCTTTGTTTTTTTCTTTTTAAGCAGCCATGAAATACTGTTGCTAGACTGAGTGGTGGAACTGAGGACATCCTTCATCAGGCAGTCTGCAGATTAAATGTATGCAGAGTGAGAGAACAGGGGAAATAAATATCGTTATGGTTTGTGGGGGAGTAGTATAAAATAAATCTTTTTGTTGGTGAAACCACACTGTATGGTTAGAAAATACCAAAGAGTTTGTCTCCTGTAAGAGAATGCCAGTTTAAATTAAAGCTGTTTTTAATCCAGCCCTGTGATTTGTTTGGGTATTCGTAGCTGAAAGAGCTGACTCCAGCATGCAGGGGGTGTACTGGGTGTCATTCTGGGGATATCATGAGAATATTGTGACATTAGCATTGTATTCATAGGGATGAATTTGGGATCACTAGGGAATAAATGTATTCTCTACCCCAAGGTGCTTTCTCCTGTGATTTACTGTGTGTTTGTCCCTGGACATGGGCTCTGGTTTTAATTCACCAGAGAAGAAACTGAAATATTTGCAGTGAAGGCATCACCTCTGGCATCACCCAGCCTTCTAAAGGAACTTGGTTGTATTTTCCTGCCAAAACAACAAGTAGAAATTTTGAGTAATACAAACTGTGCTGGTCAGTTCAGATTTTATTGTGGAATTCTGTGGTTTTAGCTCCTTTCATGCTTCTGAATGTCCATGTGCTGGGGATTTGAATGGACAAGGTATGAAACTCATTTCATCATGGTTTTTAGACCATTTTCTGTAACATCTGACACCACCCAGAGGGGAGAAATCTGTGGCATAAAGTGAAGAATGCCTTCCATGACACATATATCTATATCTATATCTATATCTATATCTATATCTATATCTATATCTATATCTATATCTATATCTATATCTATATCTATATCTATATCTATCTATATAATCTGTTTCTATATATCTGTATCTATATCTATATATCCTGGAGTTAGTCTCTAGTGGTATTGATTTGTTTGGGTTTGTGCTTACCCCTTGCAGTGGTCAGAGGGGTTTTACCTACAGCTTGTGCCCCACTTCTAATCAGAGCACCCCTTGCTCCTGGTAATGTTTTATTTGTTTTGTTTTTATTTCGGTTGTTTTTTCAAGCCTAAAATATCTTTTACAACATCAATTGCTCAGTTTCTGTGAGGAAGTGAAATAATCAAATAGTCTCCTCCCCACCTTCCACAAAAACTGGGGAAATCCAGTTGAGCAATTAGGAGAAGAGAGAATCTTTAGATATACTTAATTTTTTAACTTTGCAGAAGAAATAATCTCTGGAACTAAAGCCTTTGGAACTTAACTGAGTGGATACATGTGCTGCTTGAATAATCATGCATCACCTTAGGCTGGAGGACCTGATTGGATGCCAGAGGTAAAAGTGGGGGGTGGGGGAGTTTACTTTCTGTCTGTATTATTAAATAAATAAGCTTAATTTTTAGAACAAAACGTAGTATCCTGTGAAATAGGCTCTGACAGAGGCAGTGACTTTGGGTTCCTGGTAATCATATAAAGGCATTGTGGCTTTTCTGTTCCTGAGCTGGCTGGGTGGTTGTTTCTGGAAAATATAAATTCTTTGTAAGTTCTACTGTTCAATTCTGATTATTTTGCCTTTTTATGCAGAACTTTTTAAGTGGAAGATTTATGTGCTTGGTGGGAGACAACCATTAAAGAGCAGAGATTAATAATCTGAAAATAGGTGAAGTTTCTCAAAAGGGAAACACCAGAGTGAATCATTTTAGATCAGGCTGAAGATACCAGTATTGCCTTCAGTTGTTGCTATAAAATGGTCTTCCTTTTTGCTTTTTTACTCATTAAAATAAAGTATTAATTTCAAACTCTTTAACAAAAACTGCTCATGATTGAAACTGCCAAGAGTGTTTATAGTGCTTATTTGATGACAAAACAGTTCTAGCACCAAATTAGGTGTAAAATAATTTTGGTATCTGTTTTGCAGTTTGTAAGACCATACTTGTATATTATTTAAACTGTGTGTATGGGGAAACCCTCATTTAACTTTTCATCTGTCTCTGGAAAAGAAAATAGGAATGAACTTTTTTCCCCTCCATGCCTACTGCTGTTGATGAGCACAGAGGGGAACCACCTTCCCCTGCCCTTACAAGTTAATTTCGGATAAATCTTTTTCTTGCCCTTTGCCAACCAAGCTGCAATTTGAAAGATGTGTTCTTTTCTGTTCCTTTTGTGTCTCAAACTGCTTATTTGGCTTTTTTGCTGTACTTTGTAACCTTACTTTGTTCCTTCTTTTTTACCAGGCAAAAACCTCCTGTACTGTAAAAAGGGGCTGCTTGGATCGATGTTCTCCCCTTAAATTCTCTTTTTGTAACAGTCTGTCAAGGGATTCATGTTTTGACATGATTTTCTCAACCTTTTCTTACACAAGACAATAGACTTCTTTTTTCTTTTATTCCTGTTTAAAAGGCTTTAGTTGTCTTACCTACAGGTGTGACATAATAGCATAAATCTCATTTTTATATGAGTAGACCCCTCTGTTCCAAGTGTTCTTTTATATTTTAAAGGTTAGGCTATATTGATATAGTCATTAACAATATGAGGGTTTTTTTATTGATGTAGTTTATACAACCCACTTAGCAGAAATGAGGCTTTATGTCTTTGAAGAAGTTTAAGGTACTTCTGCAGAAGAAGTAGCATCAGCACCACTCCACCCACAGCAGGGAATGTTGTGGGTAGGATGATTTGTTCTAGTGAACTTGCAGTGAGTAGTCACAGTGATTCAAAAACTATTTATAGGGAGGAAAAATTAAGAGTAATAATGAACAAAGCAAACAGAGCTGCTGAATTTTTAACTGACTGAGTAAGCAGATGTGGTTTTTTTTTATAGCCATGTTCAGTTTGTGATACTTGCACTCTGCACATAAAGTACTGTGATGTCATAAACAATAATTCAATATTGCTGAAAGATTAAATAGGAGCAATGAAATCCTAAGTAGGGAATCCACTAACCCCCCCCTCCCAGGTTTTTAGAGTAATTATTTTAATTGAGGAGAGAGGATAGAAAATGCAAATCCAATACTTCATATTTTCTCCCCTAATGTGGAAAACCACCAGTAGGTTTGAATCTTACTCTTGTGTAGGGTACAAGGTCACAAGTCTTTGTAACAGGTTGGTCAATCAGACTTAAATGGTTACATTTTAATCTGCTAAGCTCATTAGAGAAACAACACTGTCGCTGTAGTTAAGTTTGTCACAAGTTTCAGTGTAACCTCCCTTGCAGTCAGCTGTGGTGGACATTACCTTGGTTCAGACTTGAATTTAGCAGAAAAATGGTATTGTTCCAGATTTCAATTATTTAAAAGCTGTGTGATTATGTTTTTTAAAAAGAAATCAAGAGAATTTAATGAAGTTTTTAGTATCACAATCTTTCAGTGTAGGAGACTTGTCCTCTGTGTCCAAGGCAGGTGGATTTTGACACAGTAAAGTTCTTTTTTTCTGGGAGATGTATGCATTTACATTAATTCTCTGGATACTCAGCTTTCCATCAGGGCTTATATGTTAAAGCAGAATGTTTTTATGGATATGAGATCTCTCACATGATCTTTATCAAAAGGTCACAAACTGAATAGCAAAATTCAGCTGAAAGGCTTTTGTGGTGTGATATAAAAAAATACAAATGCCAAAACACTCTTGGATGCTTTAATGAAATAGGAAAGTGTTAGTGCTCCAATTAATAGGTTAAAAATCTTTATTTCAAGACAGGCACGGGCGAAGAAGAGTGCTTTAAAATAGTGGTGGTCTTCTTTAGGCACTTGCTAGCCAGATTGCTTTCTCTTCACCTTTTTCACATTGTTTTTCCAGTAATGATTCATTTAGCAAGTCATGTAATCAAGAAGGGGTGTGAAAATAAAGACTTGGGAGTTTCTATCTTGTATATTGACTTACTTTATTTTATTTGCAACCTTGTTTCTTTAAATACTTGCTAACCCTGATAAAGCTATCCTGTACATGATGAAGATGGATTATGGAGCAACGTATGCTTAGATAATTCCCCCTTTCTGGTAGCAACATATGGAGCAGGATGAGGACAATTCTACCAGTAGAATTATTCAGTAAAAAGGGTTCTCCTCCATCTCTCAGAGGAGGTTTGAGTTCTGAAGAAATTCATATGCTTTTTGTCCAGTAGAGCTCAGAACATGTCTGATTTCTGGAAGGAGAAGGCAGTATCTGTCTCTTGGTTAGAGAAGGAAAGGGTGCTGAGCCTGTTTATGGTTCCAGTATATGGGGAGGCTACAACAGTGTATAAATTGGATTCAAATTTGAAGGAGAAATAAAGCTAGAAGAGCTGGTTTTGCTATGAGCAAAATGGTTGGAAGAGCATGCAACCTCCCCAAGTAAATTTCTTCCTTTGTGTTACAAAACTCACCAGTTTTAATGTGTTGCTGAATTCAGTTTGCATTTGTGTAGCTTCGCTTGTTTTTATCTTTAATTCTTAAACAGTTATATTCCTCCCAGACTTCTTTCTTTCTTGTGTGTGTTGTTGAACGGGGTGTCATGCACTGATGTGGATTTTGAGTGCTCTCATTTCTTTTCCAGCATCTGTCCTTTTATCTTCTCTGCTTTTATTTGGATTGTGAATATCATGTAATAAGGAGGGGGGATATTTACAAGTAATTACAAGCAGGGTATTATGTAGAGCTTTGGGTCAGTGGATCTGGCCTGCTGAATAATGGGATTGGATGGGGAGATCAAAACATTCCTGAGTCACTAAATTGGAATTGCCAGTTGCAGCAGAAACTGAGGGAGCGAACCCCTGGGAGGTGCTGGGCTGGCTCAGTGCTGGCAGGGAGGATGCACTGGGGAAGGGAGGATGTGAAGTAGCTGGCATGGGGTTCTCATATACTTTGGTTTTTACAAGAAGCAGTTTCCTTGGGAATTTATTTTTGTCTTGTTTGGTTATTTTCAGCTGTAAATCAGGCTTCCTGCTCTTAATGAAACTTGGTATTGGCATAGCTGTGAGACTGAAAGAAATATTGCTGCTTGCATCCAGATTAAGACAACACTTCACTATATATTTTGAGTCTCTACATGGCTGGTTATTATATATAAGTGCTGTAAAAAATACTAACTTTTCTGCTGATGGAGTTTTAGTGAGGCCTGGACCAGGATCTTGTATTTGAGCCTTCTATCCACACATCAGTGTATGATATTTACATCATTATATGCCAAATTCTGACCTTAGCAGGATAGCTAATTTTTTCAAAGTACATTTATCTCCAAATTACATTTGAACTTTGCTTTTTTTTTCCTGTTCTAGTCACATTATTTCCATAAATTTGATATAGTTTGACTGTCAACATACTGGGATCTCTGCTTGCAGTCTGAAACAGAATCAGTGGCACAATTAAAGGTGGTCTTCATCTGGGTAGGAAGCCATAATTCTGGTTGCAAACGCCATTAACAATCTGCAGATTTCTGTAAATGCTTAAAGAATGTTCTTGCTGTGGATTACTTTTATATGAAGAAAGCTGTGGGCAGAGAACATGGGAGCTTCTATAGCTTCACAAAATAGGACATTTTTCCCTGGGGAATTAGTCCACCCTCTAGTATTGCACAGGCTCTGAGTGGGAAAGTTTAACTCCCTGCCTTTCATTATTCAGGAAAAGTCCTTTGCTGGTTCCTATCAAAGGAACTAAACAGATCTATTAACAATAAGCTGATTATTGAGTTGTTGGTTGGTTCATTCATACCCACTTAGGGATGTGTTGCTGGATCAAGCAGCTTCTTACAGATGGCACCAAGCAACTGCTGTGAGCAGCAATGCCAGCAGCTCCCTGGGTGTATTCCCAACATCTCTGTTTGCCATGCTGGAATCTTCCAGCCCATGAAAGGCCTAATTATTAATTCAATGGGGAGTTTATTTCTCAAGTGCATTCAGAGCTTGTTCTCTGAAAGCTGTTGAAAGGGTTTGTATGACAATTAAGCGATGACTTGCCAGGTAACAGCTGCTCTGAAGTTCCGCTCACGAGGTTTATTGTTCAGTCATCTAATGCATAAGTGACTTTGTGATTGGTAATGTGGGTTAGATGTGTCTTGTACCTGCTTAATCAGAAAGGTATTTTAATCTGTTGCAGTGATTTTCCTTGATTTTTTCCATAGCAGCATGTAGCATTTCCTAGGCTGCTCTTGCCCCTTTGCTCTGTTCCTTCCATGTGATGGCTGATCTGGAGCCTTGACTGCTGAAAGACCGAGTGTGTGCTGCTGGGTCATCTCAGGTTCTCTCCTTCCTTCTTCACCAGAATGAGACTGGTTTTTTCCTTTGGGTGATCTGCTTCAGGATGAGGGAATGCTAACTGGATGACACCACAGTTTTCTTGATGGAAATCTGTCCTGGCAAGAGGAGCTGGTGTTGCTCCCCAGAGCAGGCTGTGCCTGCTGCTCTGGTGCCAGAGCTTGGGGTCTGCTGCATTAACTAAGCTGCTTTGCAGTCTCTAACAGCACAAGAGATTACCACGACTTGAAAAACATGCTTATCGTGTTCTCAGTACATATATTCACAAAGGTCTAAGTTGAAAAAGTCCAAAGTCTTGAACAGGTAATGCTTATTAGAGTTTCTGTGCAACTGGGTAGGTGTGTGTCTTTCCCATAATAAAAGTTGAGGAAAAAGAAACTGAATCTCTGGTTCAAACCATAGAGGCCTTGAGAGGCCTTGACTATGTGTTTTTAAATATTTGTGATTTATTTTGACAGTTTATTAATTCTAAAGACAAGTATTTACATTGTGTGGACTTACTTTGTACTTGTGGTACAAATATTTATAAAACACTTTTGTGTTTTTGCTGTCCAATAATGTGATGATAATTTATCAATGAATCCTTAACTTCAGAACTGGTAAACAACTAATTTGCTTTTGTTTTGTCTTTAGGAGAATCAGTTTTAGAAGTGTGTGAAGGTTGTTATCACTTACCTTAGAATATTCGAAATAGACACCAGGTGAGTTCTGGATTTTTTTAATTTCTTGTAGCTTCTCATTTAAATGCAGAATATTGCAGAGGAAACAAAGTTTCTTATAAAAATCTTACTACCTCAGGAAGCCAAGGCTAAAACACCTCCTATTTTTCGTAGTAGCACAGTCTTGAGTATGCTTCTCTCATCTCCCCTTTAAAAATGTTTTGTGTTTTTTTTTCTTTCTTGAAAAATACCAGACTGTGAGGACAGCTCTAAGTAACTCTGAGACAGATGGACAGGATGTGGAGGCCAGTGGTGCTTTTTCCTTTCTGTGACAAATCAATATTTACTGAAGTGCTTTCAGGCTTGGTGTTTTTATTTAGACTTTTACTGATAAATACTGGTTGGGATAGATTAATTCAGTTTTAGATTAACACCTGTAGTTAATTTTCTGCACTGGAAATCTTTACAAAGTTGAAATCTTAGTTTTAACAAACATTAGATTTTACCACTTAGCAGCAATGCTTTGTAGAATCCAAATCTTTCCTAAAATACTTGAGTGCTTCCTAAAGTCCTATAATAAAGTATCAACTAGACATTATTTTTGTAAGAGTTGGCAAAACATCATTTCCAAGCTGGACTCTTTAATCATCTTCTAATATGCTCTTAAAGCTGTAATTGTAGAGGGTTTGACAGCATTCCTGATAGTTTGTATTACACACATGTGCAGGGTTGGGCTGAGCTGGGACAGCAGCAGCCTCCTCCTGTCCAGCACTCCAAGCACTTCCCTGAGTCTGTCTGGGTCATTCCTTCTGGTTCTTATTTTCCCTTTTGGGGATTCCTCTGTTCTCACTGTGTTACTGGTGATATTTTGGAAGACTGGGAGGATGTTGTGTACTAGTTTTAAACAAACTCCTTTGCAAACAATATCCATTAAGGTCAATAACCTCCCATTATCCTGTGATAGTGGGTATCATTCACTGTGTCAGGAGGAGGTGGATTTTCTTCCTTAGAGTGGGATTTCACTTTCTGGAACAGCTGTTTCCATCCAGATTCCACACACTGTGTGTAGACAGTTCACTGTAATGCTGTGGACAGCACCTGTGTACAGGTCTGTGTGTTGGCATGTGCATTCAGGGAGTGATTTTATTAATTTTTTTAATTTTTAGGAACTTAAACTGATGAGTATACAGACATGGAGAAAATTAGAATTCTGGAGATTGTGCCCCAGCATCCTACTGTAGTAATATCTTTAAAACTAACGTTTTTTTGTGTCCTGTGCCCCTTTTGATTTTGACCAGTGGAGCTGAACAGCCAAAACTCCTTCCCAGAGTTGTGTTTCCTCCAGCAAGGAAATTCAAGAGACAGCAGTAGCTGTGTGACTTACACAGGGGAGATGGGAAAAGTGATAGTTGAGGATTACAGTTTTCAGAGGTTTGTTCTTGAATAAATACTCAATGCTTCAGCCTTGGAGTGAGATGAGAAGTACTGCTGTTAGTCTGCTTCCAGAGGCTAATGACATGTTGTGGGTATTGTCCACGGAATTAGCTTTCCATCCCTTTATTTCAAGGTAGCCAGCCCTTCCTAGATCCAGCAGTGGTGGTTCAGTGTTGTCCCAAGCACCTGCTATTTATGTGAGCAGTGCCAGTACTTCCACCCTCCATTCTGCCACACAGCTCAGCATGTTTTCTTGGAGAAATTTATCCCACTCACTCCCAACTTCACTGAAATTTTTTGCAGCATCTTGCAGCAGATCAGGTGGAGTTTTAATTCCCTGCTTCTGGCCACCAGATCTGCTGTCACCCTTTTCAGGGCAGACATTCTTTGGGATGTTCCGTGGGTATTTAATTCCCTAAACTGGCAGAGAACTATTGATTTATTTTTTTTTTCCTTGGCTGTAATAACACTTTGCCATTTTAATGAGTTAAATACAACTTCCAAAAGGGTCAGCAGACCTGGCTGAAACTAAGGTATCACCAGTTTAATGAAATTTGATGGGATTCTTTTGGGAAGCTGAGAAGCAAATTAGTGTCTCTAAGGTTGAAATTTCCATGGATGTATTTAGAACATTAAGGCTGACTTCCATAAATAACCTGCCAGGTTTAATCTGAGTCTTTTCAGCAAGGTGCTGCTGAAGGAAATTGCCTGTTGTGATAGAGCTGACTGAGGCAGGATATTGTGGTACTCAGATGGTTAAACACTCTGCTGGTTAATCCAGGAGATTACCTTTCTCCAGAGCCTTCCCAGAGAAACCTCTTCAGGGCATCCTGCTTGGTTAGAAAAGGGAGCAGATGGCTTGTTGCTGCTGAACACAACAGTTTTTAAAAATACAGGACAGCTTTCAGGATTGTGAATTAGAGCCACGTGTGAAAACAGCAGGAGGAATGATACCCGAGTTTAGGAAAACGCAGAACTTAAATAACTTGCACCTTTACTGTCTGTTTCATATTTAAAAAGCCAAAGGTTGCATTCCTAGTAATAATACTCCTCTGTTCCTTTAAGTAAAAAGCTTCCCAGATGAATTCCCATCACTGCCTTGTCCTCCACTCTTCTGCCAAGGCCTATATATCCATTTCATACCAGTTTGGAGAAATAAATGCTAACATCCCATTACACCAAGCTGTGGATCCCCAGCACTGTTCCGATGGAAGCAATTAAGGATGCAGCAGTGTGGAATTGTATCCCTGTGCCTGCAGACTGATAGATACTGCCTGGGTCAAACTGAATTCATTTTTATTAAACAAATTGGCCCTAATTTAACAGTGCAGATTTTGTTAAGCAGAACATGGTGGATGGCTGTGATCTGCAGCATCTGTCACCAAGGCCACGTTGGATTGATGTTACAGGAAGCTTGTTATGCTTAAATAGAGCTGCAGCTTTTAGCAAAAATGTCCATAACACCCTGGAAGCTCCTGTTTCAAGCAGTATCTTCTTCAGAAGGGCTAAATCAACATGTAAAATTCCAATCAGGATGCATTTTTTTCCCCCCTCCTAACTACTCAGGTCCCTGTCCAAGAGCAGTAGTGACAGACACTCCTTGGCAGGGAGCTGCTGGCAGGGACTGGTGTGCTGGAGCTGCAGGGAGGTTCCTGGGAGGAAGTGATGATGGGCACAGAGCAGGGAGCCTGGGAAGCAAGGGAGCAGGCTGGTGTGATTAGGTAGATTATCAGAGACAGGTCAGGATCATCAGTCTCTGACCTCTGCTTCGGGGTAGAGGGGGCTGGGAGGCTGCCTCTGGGAAAGGCTCAGAGGGTTGTGTCTGCTGTGTGCCTGGCTGCAAGGGTTCTTTCCTGAAATACAGTTTTTCTTTCCCTGAATCAGATTATGCCCAAATAAGTGAGTTGTTTGTGTTGTGTCTTGCAGCACTCAGTAATTTTCTTCCCATACAGAAAGCTTTTGGTACTGAACAGTGTCCTTGAAAACAAAATATTTTCTCGCCCTACCCACACATTCACCTTCCAGATTTGGGGTGTAGTTTGAATTTTTAGCCAAAGAATTAGAGTTTAGACTATTTATTATTAATAGTAATAATTTATAGCATCCTATAGGAAGCTTTAAATTAAACTGGGTAGAATTGCCAAAGGCTTCTTGAAGGAGATGAGAGTTTTGTTGAGCTGGTGTATTCCAGTTTAAACAACAGGACCTGGTGACCAGTGTTGAAAGTCAGAGGGGCCAAGTGAGGAAGAGAATCAACAGCAGGGTCTGAGCTGAACAAGACAATGTGATGTGTCTGTCCACATCCTTGTGACTTGGTCTCCCTTGTGTTGGGAGAAGCAGAGGTGTGGTCACAGCTCCACCCAGGCCGTGCAGGGGGTGAGGACTGAGGGCGTTGCTTTCAGCCAGCCTTGTAAAAGCTGAGGTTATTAATTTGTTATATAAGACATAGGGTTAAATTAGAAGAGTCTGGTGCTTTAAAAATCTTTTTCAAAGGCTGCTTAATCTGGTGTGGGCTAATTGTAATGACATAATCCAAAAATAGCCAATAGTCTTTTCTTGGATGCTCATCCTGGCTGCAGTTCTGCAGCTAAAGAACAGTAAAGCTGATCTCCTCAGGATGGGAGAGGGCAGAACCAGATCTGGTCCTGGCATGGCACAGGGGACACCCCTGGGGTCTGTCACATTCAGATGTGGAGCAGGAGGTTAATCCATGTTCAAGTAGCATGATTTTAACTAGAATGCATGTTAAATGTCGGATTCACAACTTTAAATTATGAGAGAGGGGATCTCCTCCCTGGACAGACATTCCCTCTTTCCTTGTGGAATGCACAAGCTTGGTCACACTGGATTTTTCTAAAGATTCTGTTTGACCTGGTATTGGTGATAAGATGGAGGACTGGGATTTGGGAGTTGTGGGGAAGGTTGTTTTTTTTGGTTTTTTTTTTAATGTAATTTCTGAAATAAAAAATACAAATAAAGTCAGTTACTCCTATGCCAGTGTGGTGCAAAAACGCAGCCTCAACAGCAACTTCTCTGTTGCTGTGTTGTTTTTATAGATATTATCACAAATAAATTATATTAAGACTAAGAAAGGAGATGAAGTGACTTGAGAGATGTGTTTTTCAGTACACAGCTATAGCTGCACCTCAGCTCTTGATTTGGGGTTTTTGGAAAGCAGAGTTGAGTGTATACAGTGGGGATTTGGCGTGACTGGTGTTGTGCCAACAATGGTTGGCACAATATAATAGTTGTTTTCACTGATAATTCACTGAATTTTTTAACTTTCTGCCTTCAACATGTGTAAACAACCTTTTCAAAGCACATTTTAAAAAAGCTGAATCTTGACGGGTACTCTGTTTTTGAGGATGATTTGCTTAAAGATGTTTGGTTTTTTCTTTACTTAAGCATTTCTTAATCTTTATTTTTTTGCAGGGGCCAGTTCTCTCCTCAGGTTAGCTCAAGATGGCAGACCAGAGGCAACGCTCCCTCTCTACCTCTGGGGAGTCATTATACCACGTGCTGGGGCTGGACAAAAATGCCACTTCAGATGATATCAAAAAATCTTACAGGTAAAGCTTTGAGTTTTATGCCTGTCCCAGTAGCACAAATGGCTTTAATTCAGCGTTCAGCAAATGGTCTATTTATGAAGGAGCCTCAGTTGGTTTATTTAGACCTTTTGCAAGAAAAATATTTGGGAAAAACAGGTGAAAAGGTGGTTGCTTCTTGCAAAATGGGGTGTGAAAACATGCCTGGGCTTGCAATTTTTCCATCTTACATCTAGTAAGTTAAATTCTCAAATTTAGAGTGTCATTCTGAAAGGTCCTTGCCTAAATTTGAGCAGAATTTTAAGAATGTGCTGAGTTAAACTCTTCCTGTTATGTAGCCTTGTGTCTGTCTTAGGGGTAGCAGAGATGTGCAGAACTACCCTGCTGTCCATCATTTCCACTTTTGGCACAGGCAGAGATTAAAGATACAAGTAAGGATGAAAACAGAGCACCAATGATTACTTTTTCCTGGAATTCTGGTCAATATTTCTTACTCTTTGTGGAATTATTAGTTTAAAAGCCGGTTTTTTTTCTGTATCTTTTTCCTTAAGAATTTGACACATGAAATGACTTCATAGTAACCAAATAAAAACTACAAAACCAGTCTTGTAACATTTTCTTTTCCACATTCTCCATAAATCTGCTTAAAGGAAACTGCTGCTGTGACCAGTAGCAATGTGTTTGGATTACACTAGGGGTCAGCATCATCTTTCCATGAAGATACTCATTGTCAAAATTGTTTTCCTATGGTCTTTAACTTTTACCAAAGCTTCTTCCCTTCCAGAGTTACATACTGATGGCAACTATGTGTGAAGTCTAGGAATAAACCAGGTCCACAGATTCTCAAAAATTAGCTTTTTCTTCCTAAAAGCTTTAAGTGGATGTTTGAATAGTTTATCTTCAAGCAACTGGAAAATAATACTAAATTATACTAAATACTATATTATAATAAATAATTACTTTCCTGGGGGGAATACTGTGAGCTTTTCCTTTGGAGGAACAACCCCATGAGATCCTGGGGTGAAATGTAGTTATTTCACACTTACCTGAACCTTCTTGTTTCCTCTGCTGCTCCTTTATCATGTTCAGTCTGAACATCCTTTGCTGGCCTGTAGGCTGTGAGGTTTGTGTACATGTAGGTAGTGGGAAATAAAAATATTTAATTTATTGCAGCCTGACTAAGCCCTTTCCAGGATTTTAAAACTTCCCTGTGATTATTTCAGCCCTCACTGAGGCTGGGGCACAAGTGGCAGCTATGGACATGATTTACTGGAGCAGCATCATGCAGACTGAAGTGTCCCAAGGGCACACTCAGGCTGGTTTTTAAATGCTATGAGATACTTGCAGACACATCCAAGTGATTGCAGACATCTTTGTTTTATGTTTGTCTTAACATTTCCCCACTGCAAAGCTGACATGTAATTGTCTGCAGACTTCTCCTGTCTTTCTCGTATACGTGACTTTCTGGTCATTTTCTGTAGGTGTGTCTCTGTCATTTTTCTACTTGGGAGCACGTATTTTCTCTTCATAAGGAGGTGTTTAGCCAGTTATTTCTACTGATGTCTCTAAATAGCCTGGACCATGTGAGAACTAGCACATTTATCAATGCTTTATCTGATTTTTTTTGTCAGTTGTAAGAGATCTGGCCTGATTAGGGGAGGTACGTTGTGATTTCCTGATATCTCGAAACTCAGAATTATTTTCTATTCTAGCAAAGCTTGAACTGAAAAGTACTTTGTTCCTGCACAGGAATTGGTGAATTAACCACAAGTGATCGTCTGTTCTATTTTTGTGTTCAGACACTGCAGAAGCAGCAGTTCAGACACTCTTCAAGCAGCTGTGGCAACTTGCTTTTATGTACTCTTTGGTGCTATACCTTAGACTTGTGGTGTGTCTTTGCTGTAGCAGGAGCGAAACTAACTGGTGGAAATTGCTGGAGCTGAGGATAAAAAAAACCCAAGCCTATTTTTATTCAATGTCTCTTATTTTTTTCCAGTGGATTTCTGAGGGTCAAATCCAACAGTCTGTAGCCAATCCTGTGAACTAAGCTAGATACTGCTGTAGCCTTTTATTATCATCTAAGGAAGAATCATCAGGGAGGTTGAATCACAGATGAAGGAAAACAGTTGGAACTTGAAAGTCTCCCTTGAGTGGCAGGCTACGGAATTAGAAAAAAAATAAATCAAAAAACAGGAACCCAAACCCCAGGTTTTATTCTCTTTTTTTCTTTCCACAGGAAACTGGCATTGAAATATCATCCTGATAAAAACCCTGATAATCCAGAGGCAGCAGAAAAATTTAAAGAGATCAATAATGCCCACGCAATATTGACCGATGCCACAAAGCGGAACATTTACGATAAGTATGGGTCTCTGGGGCTCTATGTAGCAGAGCAGTTTGGTGAAGAAAATGTGAACACATACTTCGTGCTGTCCAGCTGGTGGGCAAAGGTAAGTAAAAGGGCACAGAGTTATTCTGGATTGGTATTGGAAACTCTTAGAGAGCTCCATTTGATAACTGTTCTTGGTTTTACCTTTGGAAATTGCTGAATTTCTGACACCGGGTTAATCAGCCTTCTCTGACTGTGTTGTGATCTTGAGTTCAGAAGTATTTTTCTAGGAAATTCCAGTGATACAGGTCTAATGAGAAAGACCTGGGTTACTAATTGAAGCTTGGATCTTCTAGTGGATTTAGAAGAGATGAGAATTTGGGGGGGGAGGTATTCTCTGGTCAGTAACTTTGTAGAATGAGTCCTGACTGTGAACTTGGGCTCACAGAAAATCTCCTTACATTTCATTGCATGGGTCCATTTTTTTACCCTTTGCCAGCATTGCCTCCATCTCTTCTTGATTCCTGTGAGGAAGACAATAATTCTATCACCGTGCTGGTTTGCTATCTGTAAAATTATTTTTTTCAAACAATTGCACAGTGACCTATAGGAAGACTTTAATTTAGCCCATTGTCACTGTGATAAACACCTGGCAGACCTGGCTTGCATGGAGCTGCTGTGCTGGGGGCATCAATCCTCAACCATGCCCACAGCCTTGGGCTGCTCCAAGTCCCTGCTGTAGGTACATTGTGGCCTGTGCATCAGCTGGTACAGCTCAGTCTTTTCCAGGGTTATTTATGCAAGTTACAGCCTGTCCTGAACTGTTGTACCCCTGGGTTTTAGTACAGATGTGCTTATTAGACCTGTACCTTCTTCCAGATGCAGCAAAATAGTCCACTTAACTTAAATTGTAGAAATTACTCAAGCAAACCAGGCTAGCAGTATTCACCTCAGTGTAAAATGTCGAGAGCCATAGCCACTTTTGCACATAATTTGAAGTATTTCTCAGTGATAAAGTACAAAGCTGTAGCTGCTAAGTTCTGTCTCTGCACTGCTGTGGTTTTGCTCTCTGATTCTGTACCCAAGTCCTACAAACTCTGTGGTCATGGCATAGTAGACACAGGTTATGACTATCTCTGTATTTTCTGTCCTCTGCAGGCCTTGTTTGTGTTCTGTGGGCTCATCACAGGCTGCTACTGCTGCTGCTGTCTGTGCTGCTGCTGTAATTGTTGCTGTGGGAAGTGTAAACCGAAACCTCCTGAAGGCGAAGAGCAGGAATTCTACGTCTCTCCAGAGGACTTGGAGGCACAGTTGCAGTCAGATGAAAGGGGTAAGTGAAAACACTGTGAGCTCTCTAGGATGAACATCAGTCCCTGCTGGAGTGCTCACTGAGCTGGTTGAAGAGAAATCAAGTCCTGGGGTACGGATGATGAGCAGGGAATGTTTGTGCCATGAGTTAAGCAGGTGATGCTGACAACAGAAATAAAGTTGCTAAAAACACCCAGAGGGTCTTCATTGAATCTGGTGGGATCAGCTTCAGAGCAGTCAGTGACCATCATTATGTTCCTTCCACATCCTGAGATAACATTGACCAGCCATGTGGGATTGCAAAAAGGGACTCTTGTACCCAAAAGTTGGGGGTGTCAAGGCAGTGTTAATTGTGTCAGGTGTGGAGGAACTGGCACTGCCACCCTTGTAGCTCTAATACTGTTTGTGAAGCTATTTCTATAGGATTAAACCAATCATTTCAAGTGCTGTAGAGCCTTGTGTATGCTCTGATGACATTTTTAATGGGCAGTGCTGAATGGTAGGTGAGGATCTGCTGCTTTTACAGGAAGAAGGAAATGTAATAAACATTCCACATACAGAGTTAAGGTGAATGCTGTTGTGTGCACACTGAAAATCAGGGAATTAATATCATTCTCCTAAAGAAGTGTAAAATGGTGTTATCAGAGGGTTGTAGGGAGATGAGACTTGTGCTTACCAAAACATACAGTGCTGTGTTTGTTCCTTGGTGTGCTAAGCCTTTTGTCTTCACTTTTCAGAGGCCTCAGATGCACCTATTGTGATACAGCCAGCATCAGCCACAGAGACAACCCAGCTCACAGCTGACTCTCACCCCAGCTACCACACTGATGGATTTAATTAAGTTAAGGAAACACTGTCATTAGAATGGATAAAAAAAAAAAAATACATGGCCAACTCAACACTAGAATCATGAACATTAGAAGTAGAGAATGGGGAGGGGAAATAATTCTGCCACAGTAAGAAGGCAGCTTTCCAACCTGCCGAAAATATTTTGTAATCCCTTCAGCCTTTTGTCACCTTTCAGTGTCGTATCTCGACGATACGTGAAGTGCTGTAGCATGCAGTATTTAAAGCAGTTTAGCTACGGTCTTATTTGTTTCCTTTCTTTTGTTTTTCTTCTGTTTTGTTTTATTTTTTTTGGTAGCATGTATGGAGTTATGTTAAATGTCTGTGGTGTAACGTATTGAGTTGTCACAATATCAGTGCGATGGAGACATTCTGCATTTTAAGCAGCAGTATGGGCCTAAAAATGAGATTTAAAAAGTGTCACAGATGCCACTGCTCTTCTGTACAGCTGAGCTGTCGAAGACCTTTAGAAGTTGAGGATTTTCATTTGAGTGCAACAAACCAATTCTTTCATTCCTCCTTCTATTCCTGCGTTATCTAAGCAAGTTTACAAAGCCAAGAACCAAAAAATGCCAGTCCTGCAGAGCTGGAGTCCTCTCTAATGCTGGTTTTCAGCTTAAATAAATCTACCTTGAAAAATAAAAAGGGAGAGTTGCCAATCTTTGAACAGTAAATTGAACAGCTCGTTGTGTATGAGGCGATCTCCAGTGACAATGGAACCAAAACCAACTGGGAATGGGCTCCTGTGGTGGTGGCAGTGGGATTTTAACTCCAAGCACAATTCTGTTTTGGTTTGAGTTCAGTTGTTTTCCTGTAATGCTAAAGACCAAATAGTGCAGCTTTGTTTCTGAATGCATGAGAATCTTAAAGTGAAACTGGTAACTTTTGGCTCTCACTGAGCAAATGAGTAAAATGCAGACAGTAGGCAACAGCAGAAATGTTTTAAAACAATTGGTGTTTAAAAATTTGTTCTAATAACTTGAGAATTTAATAGGCAAATGGGGTATTACATGTCTTTTTTTAAAGCTTTTATAATACACTAACCCTTTAATTTTGTCATGAACTTCTTTGTGGAGTACTTAAATGGATTTTTAAGAACAAACCACCTTTCTTTGTGTTTATATTGTATAATTTGCACATTGTCTTGCATTTAGATTTGTTTACACCAGTGTTTCTCTTTTCCTCGGAACAACTATGTGGAAACCACTGAAAGGTTTCCTGTAGTATTTTGAAACCAAATCAAGTCCAAAGTCTGTTCTAGAAACTGTGGTTTACTGATGTTTAACTGTTAGAAAGGCATTTTAGGCAGCTGCTGAATTGCTGGTGTATTTTATTGTCAATAGTCTTGCTTTAGGTGATCCAGAGTCAGATCTAGAACAGTTCCAGAGAACCCAGTGGTTCTGCATTTTCAGTGGGTAATTATGGCCTCGTTAATTTTGATTGTTACGGTTTTATATCACAATGCCTCTTTGTCCCTTGTACCCCCATCTCCCTGATCTGTTTTTCCCCTCTTACTGTGGAGGGGCTGTTGGCACCTTCCCCCCATGTCTGCTGCTCCCTCCCCAGCTCCAGGTGATGCTTTGGAGCAGGGTAAAGATCCATTGGTCTGCACAAAGACCACCAGGAAAGGGCAGGAACACAGAGAATTACTCTGAATATATTTTCCTGTTGTCTTTGCATGAGCAGAAAGGATGGAGCACGTGAAATCTGCCATGAAACCATGTTAAACGTGCTGGATAGGAGAACATGTTCTCCCCACGGTCTCAGTGCTCAGTGAGGAATGTTTGCACACCCAGACGTTGCTGTGGCTGTTGGTACAAGCACATATTTGCCTGCATGGGAGCTTGCTGCAGATCAGCATGATTTTAGTACCACATCCAGCCCCCCAGATTCCCCCCAAAATCTCTTACTTTTAATTAATGGCTCAATTTCATCAGCACACTCCTTAAGTCATTTCTTCTTTGCCCATAGTCCTTACAGACCTGACATGTGGCTGTTTAGTGCAAGATACTTTTAACTTTTCCTAACTTGGATGGCCTTGAGGACATTTGTGTATGATTTGGCTTGAGGTCCTTATTTAGTTAATGTCTTTCTTTGACCCCTTGGAACAAAAAGCCATTTTTAGGCTTAAACACAATATAATTTTGTCTGTCCCTGTAGATTTTGCCTGAAGCCTGTTGTTGGTGTAGAATTGCACTCTGGAATATGGGGGAGCATGTGCAGGCTTTGTCCTCTACACATTCACTGGTTAAAATTGCCTGTATCTACAAATTGTGTTCTTAATGGAAAAAAAAAAAAAAGTTTTTTTTGACTTTGTGAGTGAGCGTGGCTGATTGGAGCAAGTCAGGGAATGAGGAAGGGGTTCTTCCCTGGGAGCTGTTCCATTCCTGTCCCTGTGTTCAACTCAGTCGATAACACAGAGATGGTTGTTGGGTGTTACTCTGCTGCAGAGCAGCTTTGCCCCAGTGCTGGGGACTGGTTGTCACTGTTAATTTGGAATAATACTCTTTATTTCTTAACTTCTCTAGGCTGTTTCCACAGAAGTAGAGAGGCTGGTGGGATGTTGTGGCTCTTGGGGAGGTGTGTGACACACCTGGAGTCACTCCTCAGGCTCCTGACAAGGGAACTGAAGTGTGGGCAGCACATGAGGACCAGAGGCAGAACAGTTATCTGTGGGGAAAGATGACATCCAGGATAAGTTTGCAGTTTAGTTGTTTGCTTAGCAAGGGATGAGTTTGGAGAGAGACTGCTTTCCTGTCAGTGCTGTCTGTGGGTGGTGTGAGAACAGGAAATTAGTCTGTTACGTGCCAGAGTGATGTTAGGTGCTCCAAGGGAAACCGTTCCGAGATCTCAGTTACAGGGAATGATGGGAAAACATAATTCTAGAGGAATATTCATGTTTTTTGAAACTGTTTCAAGTTTGCCCATGTTACTGCCTAATCTCTGAGTTTAGGATTGTTGTGTATTAGTGAAGGTCTTCATGAACTATGTAAGGAAGTGATTTAAACATTCCTTCTTTAAAGCCAAAACCGTGTCATAGCACATGAGTACATTAGTGCCCACTTTTCCCCTCCTGGAGGGAAGGTACAAGAGTACCCTGGGCTGTAACACGAGTTGCACTTCATAATGGCCAAGTAGAATCCTAGTAAATGCCAAGTTCTATTGGGAATAATGGTTTAAAATCTGGCTGAGAGGCTCAGACAGGAATTCTGAGCTTGGGCGAGGGGAGCTGCAGTGTCCCAGTGCTGCAGGCTGACCTGGCTTAGTGCAGAATGTTTCCCTCCAAAATCAAACCTGAGCACTGTCCATCTCTGTCCAGCGTGTTGCCAGAATTAAACTTGAGCTTGGATTTTATTTATTTATTTGTTTCTTTAAAGTTATATCATTTGTACAAGTTGCCTGAGTCCTCCATTCCAGTCATTCGGCCGCCTCCATCCAGCTCCTCCAAACTCTTCAGCACGGATTCCCTTAGCACTTGTAGCTGCACTGGGCTGAATCCCATCTGGAGAGTTGGTGTTCAGGATACTGATTCATCCCTGTGTTGCAAGGAGAGCCATTCCTGGCTTAGGTGAGGAGGGAAAGCTGCTGCCAAGAGCTCTCAGGTGCCAGCTGTCCTTCCTGGTGTGTGGAGCTGCTGTAAAAGGAGGTGCTGGATCTGTCCTGCCCATCCTCCCTAGGGATGGGAACATCCTAAACGCACTGTACTGAGGGGGCATTGCACCCTTTAAATGCCAGTCTCATTTTGTTAGTGATTTTTGTAGGAAATTCTTAAATATTTATCTGTATATAAATTTATGTAAGACCTCAGTGGCGTCCCATAGGGTGTCGGTTTTTGCTGGTCCCATGCAGTGACGTTTTAGAGCCATGTTCCCTTTTTAGTCTTCTTTTTAGATTTGTAATCTTTTTAAACTGCTTTAGATATTAGCACTCTTAGTATTCTTAAAGTGGGATCCCCTTGGAGGTTTGGAGGGGCAGAACTGAGAAGGAGGGCTTGGGCATGGCACAGAAACACCCAGTCCTGCAGCAGGGCTGCGGTCAGGGGAATGCAGCTCTCCAAACCCTTCCTGTCAGCTTGTAAACACCTCACACAGGTGTAACCAGGGCAGGAGCCTGACAGAAAAACGATTCCTGTTCCATCTGTGAGGCAGTTTAGTGGTGTGGGGGAACACTGGTGCACTCTGAGGGGCTGTGCCAGAGTGTTTGTACCACGCACACTCCTTGAGAGAGGCACCTGCTTCTCTCAACTACTTTGTGCCCTTCCTTTGGTGCCCTTCAATCTTTTTGCCAGTTCTGGATAATTTAGCAAATTAGTGCTGCAGGTTTTTTGTACCCAGTGCACCTGCATCTTGGCATCATGTTTAACAGGTCAGTCTGGCAGGGTGGTCAGGGCAGTTTGCAGCCCTCACCTCTTGTCAGTAATTCCAAATGGTGTTTAAATGCATCAATCTTGGAGCACTGAACCGTAACCCCCCAGTTATAGTTTATAGTGTCAGGTTGATATAAACTTCACATACTTCAGCATCTGGTGCTGCTTCTCTGTATTCTAGTGGAGATCATCTAGTTTGTAGTGTCTCATTGCACCAACAGCTGCTTAAAATCTCTCAAAAGAATCATAGCCAGTAGCTCACAAGGTGGCAGGAAATTTGTCAGTGTTCAGCTCCCACAAGATCCATGGTCCCCTCCACGAGCTGCCTTTGGAGGCTTACTGGGACTGTCTGGGACTCAGCAAGACTGCAATTCCCGTGTTCTTCCAAGAAGATACTTCCTCTACAAGGAGAAGCCGCGGGAGGGAAGCTGGCTGTCTGATGTTTGCACAAGCCAAATGCCAGAAATCTGGAAGACGAACTTTCATTATGCCGATGTTACATGCACAGTTCATTTTGGTGTTAAAAGGATAGATGCTGGGAATTTCTGGTGGTTATATATATATATGTATGTATATGTATAGAGGAAGCTCTTATATAAACTGGCTGTTCATTCCCGAGTGCTGTTGTCTTCTCTGCTCCCTCTCCCAGCCCTTTGGGTGTTCTCTTGCAGTCTGTGAGCAGTTGCTTGTCAAACCATTCCAAAAAATTAACAATCTACTTGAATTCCGTGAGCTGCCCCTTGTCCCAGCTCCTCTGGCTGGAACAGGGCTCCGCCTGCTCCAGCTTTCCATAGGAGAGAAGGGAGACCTGGTGGAGGGGCAGTTCTGGAGTGACTGGAATTTGTGCAGCTGGCACATGGGGTGTTTAGATGTGGTTTATGTGCTCATCACTGAGGCTGTGATAGAACACATGGATTTGGGTTTTTCCCCTAGTTTTCACCACATTGGACTCCCCAGAGCAGGACTGGGTGAGCTCACAGAGCAAGGTCCACCCCGTGCTGAGGGTGTGGCTGCAGCATCACGTGTGTGTATGTATGTATATATGCACATATGTATATATTTATACAACAGGTGTGCACCTTGGGTTTTTCTTTGGTGGTAAAAATGTGAGATTTGGCTCCAAGTAGTGCTCTGAACTCAGCCAGACAGGGGGAAGGTGTGAGTTTTGTGTGGCCACAATTGTGCTGCTTTGCTCTCAGCTGCAGGAAAACCCAGACCCAACCAGTGGGACTGAAGGACTACTGAGGACATGGTGAAGGAGCCTGTTGTATAAATAAATGGGTCCTAGGAGTGGGAGAAGCAGCTCCTGCTCCCCACACCCTGCTTGGGGAGTTCCCACACGAGCAGTGTGGTGTTTGCACGGCTGGGCACTGTCCCTCCCCTTGCAGGTTGGTTCCATAAGGACTTGGAGTTACTGAAATTCCTACACCTGAAGCTGGCAGTGATCCATGTGAAGGCACAACGGTTGTGGCTGATGCAGATGTGAGTCCCACCATGTCCCCTCTAGCCATGCTGGATAGAGTCACCACCGCTGCCTCCTCCTCAGGCTGTTCCTGCCAGGGGCTGTTCCTGACATGCAGCACTCCAGGAGTTCCTGCTTCATGGCAGAAAAGGGGGAATACTGGGGAGATTTTTACTGCTGACACCGCGGAAGTTCTGTTTGTGACCACCACGGTTGACAAACTCCAAGTTTGCCAATTCCAAACGTGCTGTTTCCCTGCTGGGTGCTGAGCTGATCGCTGTCATTCCTTCCTCCCTCTCATCCCACCGTTGCCTGCCTTGCTGGGGTGGGGTGTGGATGGGTTGGTTGGTGTCACTGCTGACATCCCAGGCGGTTTATGTTCATTTTGCATGTGAGCAAGGCCCTGAACTGTGTAATTCCTCATGGGGTTTGGTTTCCTGGCCCCTTTATGGAGCCAGGGGGAGCTGAGGATGCCAGGAGAGATGCGCCTGCATTTGCACTGCACTTCAACTTGGATGGGGGTGGGGGATAGGGGAGCCCATCTTTAAAAAAAGAAAAAAATAGTAAAAAAAAACCCCAAACCAAACCCACCACAATCGAAGTATAAATGCATCTGAGAAGCAATTATAATATAGACATATATCTATTTTGTTATGTTACTAAAGGACCATACTTTGAGTTGTCTGTAAGTAGACGTGGCTGTCTGAACTTTGTGGATTGTAACACTCGATACTACTGAGCTCCTGTACATACCCGCGGCGACGGCAGAAAGAATTATTTTCTGTTTTAGCATGGTAATTTGTGTCTTGTATGTCCGAATATAAACTAAAATAAAGATTGCTAAGTTATCGGAAACCACTGTTGTAAAATAAATGTTTTCAATGCAGAAATGCCCATCAGATTTTTCTTTCTTTATTTGCACGCTGGAACTCAGCACAAGAGGAAGGAGTTGTGGGACAGCGTGGGGGTGGCTGGGCAGTGGGAGAGGTCACTCATCCCTGGGATGGGCACTGGGGGCAGGGTCCCTGGAGCAGGAACTTCAGCCACTTCCCTGTACCCCCTCCTGCACCCACCGTGGGGTCTGGGCTGGTTTGGAGCCTTGAAGTCCAAAGGTCTTGACGTGATGCTGGACCCTGGCAGGTATTTGGGGGTGGGGTGGGAATTGTATGCAGAGCTGAGGGCAGCAACAAGGGCTGTCTGCAATAAAAATACCCTTTTCTGGAGAAACTCAGGTTATTTACACTGGAATTGCTCTTGGTGTTGCTGGTGGAAGAGAGCAAAGATGAGTGGAAGATGTGCTGAAGGTGATGCAAGACTGATCCAAGCCAAGGTGGGAACCAAGGCAGCACAAATCTGTCCTGACCCCAGGCCCGTGGTGGCTGTGGGGCTGTCCCTGCTGCAGGTGCCACCAGCGGCTCTTCTGACCCTGAGGCTGTTCATTTTGGAAAGGTGAGTTCTCCGTTTGATGGAGGTGAGCACAAAATTGTGTTTTAACTTGGGGTTGTCAGGTTGGAGAGGGTTTTGAGCAACCTGATCTAGAGGGAGGCATCCCTGCCCATGACCCATGTTGCCCTGGTGACACCAAAAGCTGCTGGGGCTGAGCAGCCCCTCCAGAGAGGCAGGAGGGGGTGTAGGGTCAGGCCAGATTGTGTTCAAAGCTGAGACCAAACTGCTCAACTCAGCCATGTGCTCCTCACCACTTCCCTGCACTCCTGTCTTGGCACGGTCTGATGTTTACTGTGATTTCTGTCCCAACCCCACAAGTCTCTGCTCCCTCACTGTCCCCTCTCTGATGGCCCCAGGGTGTCAGAGGTCCTGTCCAGCCCTGTGCCCACCCCAGTCAATCACCCAAGGCTGGCATGGCCGAGCTGGCCTGGGGGAAGGATGTTGGCCACTTCCCTGGTCTGCAGAGTGACAATTTTCCTCCTTCCACCACGACTGTCAGTGCCCAGGAGCCTTCCCAAGTCCAGTTCAGCCCCGTCAAGCCTGTCAGTGGACTGTGCACAGCTTGGGGTGGGAATGGCCTCTCCAAGCTCTGTGATTGCAGGAGGGGGATTGAGGTGAGGGGGACTCCGTGCCCCAGAGAGAACAGCTTGGGGAGGGAGGGGGCCTCTGGGGGGGCTGCAATGCTCTTGCTGCCAATGTTTTACACAGATGCTAATCTTCCTCCAAGAACTGCCACACTCAGGTGTCACTAAACCTGGTCCCAAATCCCCAGCTGTGACACAGAAAGGTGCAGACTTGCTGCAAAGTTGGAAAGCCACAGCTTTTGGAGCCATTCACAGGGATACTGGAGAAGCCCTGGCTGGGTCTCAGGGTGCAGCTTCCAGCCGGGGTGGCACTACCTGCATCATTCAGAGCTCTTTATGCAAATGTTTTTCACCCAAGGAAGCATCTGGGATTGCTCCGGTGTTTTTGGGGCGACCTGGTTCGGGTCCCCAGGTTTATGACAGAGGGGAAGCCATAAGAGCACAGCAGCAGGGCAGGTACGACTGTGACTTTAATGCACAACAGTGACACGCGGGACGCAGTGAAGGAACACTGCCAGGCAAGGTGGGGACTCCCTGGGCACCGCTGCAGCCCACAGCATCCCCCCGGTTCTCCGTTCTGCCGTGGTGTCTTGTTACGGGGTCGGTCTCCTTCATTCCCCCACCTCCAACGACCCTCCCTCATTTCCCTATACTCTGCAGCAAGAGCTTATTGCTGAGCGCCTTCTGGGCCAGTCTCTCCTCCCGGGACATTTCCAGGAACTCGCGCAGGAGGTGGAAGGTGAGATCCAACGAGTTGGGTTTTCCGTCTCGTCTCTTGCCGGCTTGCAGCGCCCGCCGGGCTCGGGCCGGGGTGGGCTCTGCCCCATGGAACTGGCACAGTCTTTGGGGCAGGGGATCGGTGGCGGGGACCGGGGGTCTCGGGGCTCCCATCCAGGGCTCCCAGGTGAGCTGGGGGGCCAGGGTCAGCCTGCGGGACGGACCCCGGGGCCACTGCAAGGGGGAGCAGGTCTCCGATGGCAGGAAGAGCAGGACGAGGACGGAGG